TGAACTCAGGACCTTTAAACGAGCAGGCGGTGCTCTTAACCACTGAACCATCTCTCCAGCCCAAGACCATAATTTTTTTAAAAAAGGAGTTTGAACACAGGTATCCTATATAGATAGACATATATTGGTCATTATAAAAATAAAAATCTCAGGGCTGGAGAGATGGTTCAGCAGTTAAGAGCATTGCCTGCTCTTCCAAAGGTCCTGAGTTCAATTCCCAGCAACCACATGGTGGCTCACAACCATCTGTAATGAGGTCTGGTGCCCTCTTCTGGCCTGCAGGCATACACGCAGAAAGAATATTGTAAACATGATAAATAAATATTTAAAAATAAATAAAAATAAAAATATTAAAAATAAATAAATAAACAAAAATCTCAGTACCAGATATGTGATGCCTCCCCATGAGTTATTGGACAAGAAAGCCCTAAAGGTCCCCAAAACAACACAAGTTATTATCACTGCTCTTGGTTGTCCACCATAACAAGATGGTAAGAACCTATTGCTGAAGATACAACACCACAACACACTTTTGTTGCAGGACATAGAAAATTCCAGTCAAGATGGAACCTGGAACTTCTTTCTGCTGACGAGACTTCATAGTGCCTGAAGGGGCTATGCAGGCCACTGAGGGAGAAATGTCATTAATAGCATTACCCAGCAGTTAACTTTGAAAGCTACAATATAGGCCCTCCAAGCAAGATGTACCCATGGTTGCAATAGAGTCATGAAATGTACGGGGCCAGCCAAATGCTTGAGGCCTGCTCTACTGGAATAAATCCATGCCTGGGTCTGTAAACCTGCAGAAAAGCCTATGGTTTGGGAGGTCACAGGCCCCAGCGAGGAACCTACCTCTACTGCTTTGCTAGTGGATATATTGTCAATCTGCCTTCTACTCATGTTCATACCCACAGATCAGTGCTACTCTCAATCTTTACCATAAAATCTTTCTGCAGTGGATAACAGTTAATGAAGAAACTAACAAATGATCAATGTGCAAAGAAAAAAATGCAATAAGTGCTCATACCTAAAACAGGACATCTATATCATTCCCCCTTAGATCACTGAAGGGCATTAGGAAGAATTTAAGAGCAGGAGATGGGAAGAATGCTGTGAAATGCTGTCTTCTGGGTGTTGTGTAGCCACTGCATCTGTTGCTACCTGCACAAGATAAAGCTAGCGAGATCAGCCAAGCTTCCAACAGGAAGCACTAACTGGACTTCATGTGTTACCAAAAAAAGAGAGAACATGAAAATGGGAAGGAGACCTGTTGAGAAGTACTAGGTTGGGGATCTGGAGTAGATATCGAAATACATTGTATACAAATGTGCAGTTGTCAAATAATAAATAAAAGATATTCTAAAAAAAATTAAAAATATTTCTTTGGGGATTAGAGCAACAGATCAGCAGTTAAGAATACATACTGTTGCTGAGCACGGTGGCACATGGCTTTAATCTCAGCACTTGAGAGGCAGATGCAGGCAGATCTTTGTGAGTTTGAGGCCAGCCTGGTCTGCATAGTGAGTTCCAGGACAGCCAGGACAGTTACACAGAGAAACCCTGTCTCGAAACAATAAACAAAAATTATAGTCTTTAATTAGCTTACAAAGTATTGGGTCTCCATAAGAGTTTTTCATACACCTTGAATTTTCGGTTAATCTACTCCCTTTGCTGTTACACAGAGAAACTCATCTCGAGAAACAGGGGAAAAAAAACAAACACATTGTTCTATCAGAGGATCCTAATTCAGTTCCTGGCACCCCGGTCAGAAGGTTCAGGCACATGCAATCATATACACAGACACAATCTCCTACATAACTTAAAAAAAACAGAAATAGTCAGGTGGTGGTGCTAGCACTCAGGAAGCAGAACCAGGTAGATCTCTGTGAGTTCAAGACCAGACTGGTCTACAGACATAGTTCTAGGTCAGCCAAGGCTATACAAAAAAATCATCTCAAAAAACATAGGAAGGAAGGAAGGAAAGAAGGAAGGAATCTTTAAAAGCAATTCAAAAAAAAAAAAATCACCTCATCATAGTTGGTATCATTCAGATCCTCATCATCATCATCAGCTGCCTGATTTTTCTTCATCTGGTCCCCCACAGTTCTCTTCCCTGGTGGGGCATGGCGATCATCCACAGGATCGTTTGCATCCCGGGCAGGCCCAATGTCTGATCGGGTGGTGAAGCCAGTGGCACTGAAGGAAGCCCAAAGACATCATTATTTAAGAGAGCCTGATCCTATGCCTCCTTCTGATCACTGTTTAGTGACATCACTTCTCATGCTTCTGGGAACCTCCAAAGATTCTAGTACTAAGGAAGTGCATGCTTATCCATTACTGGTCTTCTTTGTCTGCTGAACCTTTTAACCTACAACGAGTAGGTCAGAGAAAGTTTCCTTCACCCCAAGGTGTCTCCATTTCTCCTCCACATCACTGCCCAGGCCTTCAGAAGTCCCTCCTCTCCAGTTCTGACCTCGCATTTCCAATTGCCTGTTGAGCACGACCTCTCCACTTTCATCCAGGCCCAAACTGAGTTTCCTCTTTTATGCACTCTACAGTTGTTCCAGGATGATCAGCCATTAACAGCCATTCCGTAAGAGACACTACACAATCATCTCTTTCTCCCTTTTGAGTTCTCTCCATCCTGTGCATCCCCAAATTGCTCAAGACCACAATCGGCCACAGCTAGAAATCCGTTTAACATCCCTGCCCCCAATCTACTCCTGCTCCAATCCTGAATGTAGCGCAGCCAGGTAGTGGTACACACCTTTATACCAGCACTTGGGAGGCAGAGACAGGCAGATCTCTGTGAGTTCGAGGACAGCTTGATCTACAGAGCAAGTTCCAGGACAGTCAGGGGTACATAAAGAAGCCCTTTCTCAAAAAACCAAAACCAAACAAACATTAAAAATAAAAAGTAGCTGATAAACTATGGGAGCTCTATGCTAACGCTAAGGTTCCCGTAGCCTCCAGCTCCGTTGTTCTTGCGGTCAATCCCACTATTCTGGATCCCTTTCTTTTCTGGCCTCACTGAAACTGATCTTTTCCTCTTGAATTTATTGTTACTTATGTGTATGTGTATGAAACTGTGTGTTTATACACACCACATGCATGCAGGTACCTGTGGAAGTCAGAAGTCACCAGCCTTTGCAACTGGAGTTACAAGCAAGCTGTGAGAGACCTAATGCGGGTGCTGGAAATGGAACTCAAGTCCTCTACAAAAGTAGCAAGTGCTCTAATTGCTGAGCCACCTCAATCTACTCCCTCTATCTTTATTAAAGATGTTTAGCAAGGCGCTAGAATCAACCCAGGGCTGTGGCATGGTACACCTGACTACACCTTCAGCTAACTTTTTTTTTTTGCCTTTATGACCCTTTATTTTTTTTTCAAAGTTTATTAAATTATAAAAGTTTCCATTTCCGCCCCTCCTCCCAACACCCTCCCACTCCCCCCACTCCCTCTCCTCCTCCCTCTCCATCCCTAAGAGCAGTCAGGCCAGCTAACTTTTAAAACTGTTTATTTATTATTTATTTATTTAGTGTGTGTGACCTAGCACATATATAGAGGTCAGAAGACAGCGTCAGAGAATCCACGTGGATTCTGGGGATCAAACTCAGGCTTGACAGAGCCTTTACCCACTGAGCAATCTCACCAGCTACGTACCTGCCTTTTTATTCCACTTTCTGTTTGCTTTTCGAGACAGGGTTTCTCTGTATAGCCTTAGCTATCCTCGAACTTGCTCTGTGGACCAGGCTGGCTTCTGGCTCCCAAGTGCTGGGACTAAAGGCGTGCACCACCACCCCATGGCACAAATTCCACTTTTCTTTACTTCTCCCAAATCTGACACTTCAAAATCCTCTTTTTAAACCTGACTAAAATGCTACACTGCTGAATATCTCTTGATTTCTGTTCCTCTTTGTGTGCTTATTTATACAAACATCAAACCACTTCTAGTGAATTCAGGTCATCTGATGATAGGTGTGAATGTTCCCCTTCTAAATACTATTACCAAGAGAGACTTACGTCTAATCAAATGCATAAAGGAGTAGGACAAATGCTATTTAATCACCCAATGCCCTCTGGTTGGCAGGCATAGGCCATCCCTGTCCCGAGAGAAAAGAACTTTAACAGGTGACCTATGGCCACACGTCCTAAAGGGAAAAGATGCTGAGGAATAAAGGGGTAGCACTCCTCTACTATACACATCAGACTCAAGTGCTCCTTACAGCCGACTTGCTTACGCCTATTACTCCAAACACCAAAACACTGAAGCTTAAACCCCTGCGTAATCCCTGAGATCTGATTCACATCTCAGGGTGGCAATTAGACCTCATGGACCTTACTCTGACAAAAAAAGGCCACTGTGTCTGGCAGGCATTATGCCAAATTACCTAGTGCCTACCGGACTATGTGGCGATGAACGTTAATCTTGTTTTTGTTTTGTGACAAGGTTTCTTTAAGTAACCCTGGCTGTCTCGGAACTTGCAATGTAGACCTAGCTATCTTGGGGATTGCTAAGTAGATCAGACTGGTCTCTAACTCAAAGATACTAAATACCACCACCACCCCCACTGCGCCCTGCCTCCCAGGCACTTTTTTTGTTGTTGTTTGTTTTGTTTTGAGACGCGGTCTCTCTCCGTAGCCCTAGTGGTCACTAGTATAGTTCTCAACTAGGCCTAAAGCGAGCTGCGTTCCAGGGGACTAGCGACCCGTCCTGGTACAAGTTCCGCCCAATGCCTTACCCCCGGCCCAGCCCAGGTACGTAGCCGAGGGGCGCGGGCATGCCCAGGAAAGGCTTTTTCTTCTTGTTCATGGTGGTGTTGTTGGCCAAAGCAGAGAAAGATAGAGGAGCAGGTACGCAGTAGAAGGCGCAGAATCCTCGCGGTGTCGCCGCTAGATGAGAAGCAAGCACTACGTCGCCCGCGCCCCGGAAGTAGAGAGTGAAGGCGAGACAAGCCCCGCCCACCCAGGGCCTCGGCGGAAGTCAAAGATGTGGGTTTGCAAAGCATTTCCGGTCGTGGTTGACGGCTGGGTTCGCTGCGGGAAGACGAGCACGCGTGCGCGCGCGCAAGCCACTAACTATGAGCGCAGAGGGCCGTGTAGCCGGGCGCAAGGGTCATGCGTTCTGTTGCAGGGCTAGGAATGGTACGCAGCCTGAGCCCAGCATTTAACATAAATGCTCAGGAACGTCCCGGTGCAGGCTTGACCACGAACCCGCCTGGCCTTAGAAGACTGATTGAGCGAACATAACCAGGACTTCCGACTTGTCTGGCTGTACTGTGTGGCCACCGACCGTCGAGAGACTGAGTGCACTCTGCAACTGCTGCTTTGCGCGCTCAGCGTTCAGAGTCGGGAACCCCCTACCCCGTTGCCGTCCAACCCGAGTTTGCTTTTGGAGAACGAGTGCGTCACAAGCTTGGGAGTGATTGTGTGTGCCCAGTGACTTGAGTGGACGCGCACCACTGTACTCTCTACACAGATACTTTCTGCCTCTGCAACTCTACCTGCAAGACAATGTCAGTCCCACCTGTTGGGTAATAATAACCTCAGGTCAGAGTGTTCTGGGCCCCAAGCTATAAAGAACTGCCTAGCCCCAGGGACAGTGGGCTCTACCTGCAGAAGCAATTTACCAGGGGTTTGGAAAACAACCCTGCCCCCAGTTAAATCCCAAAAATAGCTGTAACTTCCTGGTAGCTACTAAATGTGTGTGTTTGTCTGCCCCAGCCTTTCTATATTCTCTCCCCTTTCAACCGGTGAGATGGTTAGGGCCCCTCAGTGTTTCAATAAAGCAGTTTCAACCTGTTGAGATAGAATCTGCCTCTTTGCCCTACTTTTCTTAACACCACCCACACCTGGGGAGAGCATCAGGCTCTAGGGACAGACTGGAAAAGGTGCAAGTTGCTGTGGCCTACACGCTATGCTGGACCAGGCAACCAGACTTCTGCGTCAAATGCCTTTTAGTCGGGTACTGACTCATCCATTCTTGCCTCAAGTTCTTAGGAACAGGATTGACTCTGAACACTGAACCCCTGGGAACTGAGCCTGATTCAGGGGCTCAACAGAAACGCGTAGTACCGCTTGGGGTTCAAAGCAAATTGGCTCGCATGCGAGTCAGCTACTGTCTCTGGGAAGTGGGTCTAAGAAAAGAGAATGCTCCAATAAAGAATGAGCAAATGGGGCTGGAGATACAGCTCAGTGATTAAGAGCACCCTCATTTTTTTTAATTTATTTTTATTTATTTATTTATTTATTTATTTGCAGAGGTTCACCCACATGGCATCTCACAGCTGACCATAGCCCCAGTGTCAGGGGACCGATGTATGCTTCTGGGCACCAGGTACGTGCATAGTGCACAGACGTATACATTCGGGCAAAACGTTCATAAAATTTTTAACAGAGATGAATAAGTTAGGACACACGGGTGTTGGGGAGAGATTGATCCGGTCCTTGGTTGGACACGGTAAGTAAAAGGTCACAGGTGTGGTTAGGGCCCCCACTATTACCACACCGAGGGGACCGACAGTTCTTCGCTTGCCAACTACAAAGACACTCCAGCACACTGCAGAAGAGGCTTGTCCGCGGAGTCGTACCCAGGTGCGCAGGACGCCTTTTGCCCTGGCGGACACCCTCAGCATTCACAGCCCCGCGCGCCGCCGATACACCTCCGAGCTCCCGGAGCGCGCCTTGCGCCCAGGGCTGGGCGGCAGGTGCTTTGCCGCGCAGACTCCCGGGCCGCAGAGACCGGCTCGGGCTCGGCCGGCTCCGGCGGGTGGGGACGCTGTGCGCGTTGCCCATCGGCCGCACTGGCCGCCTAGTACTCCGCGAGGGGCGTGTACCCGAGCCGCGTACTGGCGGGCTCCATGTTCACCGAGCTGAGGTCAAAGCTGAGCCCCCCGCGAGCTCGCGCCGGGGCTGTGCGTACAGGCTTTGGGGAGCGCCCGGATGTGGACGGTGAGCTTGGATGCACCCAGGAGCAGGAATATCGTGGGCGGTTGGGTGGGAGCGGGAGGGGTACGGGGCCCAGGAAGAGCACTGGGGCTGGACTCAGAGGGTTTACGGGGGCGGCCACCACGGGGAAGTCTTTGTCCAGCATTACGGGGGCAGAAGGGCGGCGGTCAGTCTCAGGCCTTGGCTTGGGGTGGGGATGACTGGTAGGAGCTTCTTCACAAAGCTGACACCGCGCTCTGATCACCCTTTACTTCACACAGAGAAAACCCTCCCCAAACCCTAACGTTGGGGCCGAGAGGCATGTAAGTCAGAGGTTGATATTGGGGAAAACAGACCCTGACCCAGTGCAGAGAGGAAACAGGCGGGGCCTGGGCAGCCCTGGCAGGTGCGACTGGCTGTGGCAAGGACGTTAGACTGGTTTCCCTTATGAGATACATTCTAGCCCTAGTCCAGGGAAGGCCCTGAAAAGCCCTCAGACTACAAAGCCTATTCCCTGGACTTTGCTCCCTTAGAATAAGTCTTACAGTACTACAGGCTACCTCAGAGTGGTGGCCACACGCTTCTTAAGCTCACCTTCTTTCTTCTATTGGCTTGCAGGCATCACATAAAGTCGTCTGTCCATGTAAAGTGTTTATAGGTGCTTTCTGTGCACCAAGACCTGGGCAAGCCTTAGGGATCCAAACATTGGTCGTCCCCAGACTCATGTCAGTAGTAATTTCTATAAATGACTCTAAAACTAATTAACAAGTGCAATGAATTAGTGGGGAAGAAGGTCCTCAGTACAGTACAGTCTAGTCCCAGCTGGCATTCACACTCGTTGTTCTGAGGTAGGCCCTGCAGAAGCCACACGGAAGAGAAATCAAGTATGAGTCTGGCAAGTTCCTGATGTCAGGAACTTTCTCCAAAGTTCAAACTTTTTGTCAATGAGTCATAGTTAGTGATTGTTGAAAACAAAATGTGTGTGTACACCCTAGTCCTGAATGACGTGTGGGAGGCTTATGTGTCAGCCTAAGCAAGACTAGGGCAAAGCAAGTCAGGGTAACCCTGAAGACGGCTCCCCTGGCTTGGGAAGTACATCCTCTAATCTAACCACCCTTAGAGGCAAAGTGAGCTATCAGCTGATAAAGGTATCAAGCTGATGTCCACTTTATCTTCTGAAAAAAGTCTTCAAGACAACGCTTGCACATTTTTCTCCCACCTCAGGGGCTTGAGATTCCCCCAGAGGAAAAATTACCCACTCATTGGTAGAGAAAGGATTTCCTTGTCAGGAAGAAGGCTCACAGGAGAGGAGCCTACCCCTGACCACTCTGACTAGGAATCCCTGCATACAGCCACTGCCCATTTCAGCTTCTGCCAGACCCTCCTAGAGCACACAGTGTCAGCTGAGAACATACCCTGCCACCTGCCTCGGACACCAGGCACCAGCCTCACCTGGCATGACTCCCGTAGCCAGAGGGCATCCAGCAGCAGGCCAATCAAGCTCCTTCAACAGCCAGGCTCAGAGATCCCCCAGGTACTTATTACCTCACCTAATCTTAGCCCTTGCTCTCAGTTATGATCACCTTCATTCTACTGACCTTACCTCCCCACCTACAGGCCCGGCTATACTCTGATCACTATGGCTTGTATCATACAAGCCCTTCACTGGGTGGCCTGACGAGGCCAGTGGTCTTGTGGAGTCAGCAGGATGTTTGCAAGTGGCTCAAGAAGCATTGTCCTCACAACTACCTCGTCTATGTCGAGGCCTTCTCCCAGCATGCCATCACTGGTATGGTGGGTCATGGGTTAGGGAGGATCAGGGTGCTCAAGAAAGCCTCCACCTTATTTGGTCCGCCTTGTCTCCACCTGTATCCTCTGAATCAGCCTCTTTTCTGTGCCTCTGTTGTGTGTGTCTCTCTCTGCCTCTCCCAGTCTCTCTGCTCTGTCTTTAATGCTTCTTTGACTGGCCTTTATCTTTTGATCAATCTTGTTTTTCCTCTCTGCCTTCTCCGTTTAAGAACCCCTGAATATCTGCTCTACTTCCTTAGTCTTCAGTGTGTTGTTTTATCTTGATGGAGAGTCTTACTGTGTGGCCTATCTGCCTTACCTCTGATCGCCTCACTGCCTTCCTTCTTCCTTCTTTCTCCCTAGGCCGAGCTCTGCTTCGACTGAATGCAGATAAGCTGCAGAGAATGGGGTTGACTCAAGAGGCCCAGAGACAGGAGGTGCTACAGCAGGTGCTCCACCTGCAAGTGCGGGAGGAGGGGCGGAGCCTGCAGCTGCTCAGCCAAGGTTAGGGGAAGGAACTAGGCTGAGGGTGTAGGATGACAATTCTGACCATAGAAGGGTGACTGGGGGCATCTGGTAAGGACATCCTGGGGTGTTACCGAAAATCCAACTCTCCCTCCTATCCATCCTACAGCTTCCTTCGGAAACATGTCCTAGCTGCTGCCTAGACTTGGACCCCAGACCCCAACACTGTGACCAGAGCCCATAACCAAGGATGAGGCAGAGCTGGCCCTTCAGCCCCTTTGGGTCCTGCAAGATACCCTAGTGGCTAAACTTAGCCCAGTGAACAGGGACGGGACAGGATTGCCAGCTCCAAGTTCTTCTGGAGAGGCACTATAGGTTCTGTCCTCTGGCTGGGTGGGTGGTTGCTGCCTGCTTGAAGACCCTTCTTCTGGGATCCAAGCCCAGGTCCACCCCCTGGTGCTGCTGGCAGCAAACAGGGCAGCTGCCTGGAGCAAGCATGGGGTTTGAATGTCCCCAGACTCCCAGGGAGTCTGTTTTATTTATGCTCCCTCCAACATGTGACCACCCCCCATCCTCTGAGTCCTGAGTCCTCCCCTTAAGTCTTTCAATTCTGTGTTTTCCCCAGGCATGTCCAGGTCAGCCACACAGCGGGATAAGTTTTCTTGACTCTCTTTTCAGGTGTATCCCTTCCCTAACCCTCTCAGAGTACAGCAGGCCCAACCTGTTGTCCACAGTGATGGTCGTCAGCCCAGCTAGGTATGATGCCATGTGTGTCACTCAGTGATTATGAAACATCAGCATATCCTATCCACTCATGAGAACTGAAGTTGAGAGGGGTCCGAGATGCTCAAGCTCCAAAGTCAGTATGTGGTAAAACGCAGACTCCAGTGCTGTACAGGTGACTCCATGCATAGCCCACCAGTTCAGCAATATTCTCAACCTTACCTTTGAAGAAGTCTTGCTTTTAAGCATCTTCCCTATTCTCTGGCTCTTAGAGACCATCTTGAAGAAACGTGTGTACATACACGCACACCTCTCTACAGCTTTCCCAAGAAAACCTGTATAATTTTTCCAAGAAAATATGGAGAGCTGTTCCTCTCATGTGTCACCAGATACCTAAACAACTCTTCCTTGGGTATTTGGGGGGTAGTGCTGCCAGGAAGAGGGATAGTGAGGATGTCCCTGGCAGCTCCCTCTCAGTCTGCCATCTGCTAACTCTCCCAGGGACCCTAAAATCTCAGGGACAGTTGAGGCTTGGCCTCCAGTCCCCTCTGTGTGCCAGAAGCTGGCCTCAATCCAAGGTTGCTCATTATTGTTAATTTAGGCCACTGACCTGTCATCTCCCATCCTGTAAGCCTTCCACCCATGGGAGGGCCACCTTGTTGTGTTTGCCTGCAACCAGAGTGCTCTCTCTCTCTCTCTCTGCCCCCTTTCTCTCTCCTCTGTCTTTTCTACCCTATGCCCCTGTCCTGTCTTCCTTGGGTTTTTGTCCCCTTTTTATACTATGACCAAAAAAAAAAAAATCAGAAATAAATCTGGTTCTCAAATGCCAGCAGGTGTTGGATCTCTGAGGCGCAAAGGGGTGTCTAAGACAATGCCTATAGATAGAACCACTAGAGGGCAGTAGTGTTACATTCTGGTAACTCCAGGACACCTCTTAGGGTAGAGGTGTATGTTACCCAAATTGGGGACACAACAGCCCTGACACACTCAGAACAGCTTGGATACATGGAATGAGGCTCTCTAGAGCTGATGTAACTGTAACAGTGGGTTCCTGTTGGTTCATGGTCTGGGAGTGAAGCTTGGACATGGTTTGTAACCCAGGCCTAGGTTTGATTCCCAGCACAGAAACAGAGGTCCTCTAAAAGTAGAGAAGAATCACTATCTATTCTACTTGTCTGGTATTCCTGGGCTCAAGCTGCATCACTAATCTATTTCTGTGATCACTCTCTTCAGACTCTTACATGTCCCCTTTAAATTTAGGGTCTACTTGGGTAATCCAGATAGATCTCAAGAACTTCAGTCACATCTAAAAAAACTCTTTTTTTCCCCCCATATAAAATATCACTACAGGTTTAGGAATTTAACACTGTCATCTGTTGGGGCTCACTTTTCAGCCAGGCCTGACAGCCCTGACATACATAACACATGAAGCACACATCCTGAACACAACAATCAGATGTGAAAATAGGAACACAGGCATAAGCCACAATCACAGTGACACCACAGCTCGCAGACATGCCTGAATACATACAAACTTACTTGTATTTTTCTTTGTTTGTTTTTTGAGGCAGTGTTTCTCTATGCAGCTTTGGAGCCTGTTCTGGCACTAGGTCTGTAGTCCTAGTCCAGGCTGTTCTCTGCCTCCTGAGTGCTGGGATTAAAGGCATGTGCCACCACCGGCTGGTTCACATTTGCATATTTGATCAGAAACAATGATACCTACAAAGATTTATAACATCCCCATATGCACAGATATAATTATCCAAGGACACAGATACTAACGCAGACACACAAGACATAGTATACTACATGGTGCACATAAAGCACACTATGTTGCAAAATGACTTAGCACCTAGATACAAACAAAAGTCAGTTACAGCGAGCTGGGACTGGAGAAATGACAGCACTTGCTGCTCTTGCTGTGGGTTGAGTTCCCAGCACCCGCTTCAGGCAGCTCACAATTGCCTGTCACTCCAGCTTCAAGGTATCTGATGTCTTCTTCTGTGCACACACACACACACACACACACACACACACACACACACACACGTTTAAAAATCAGCCCTTTAAATCCCGACACATAGTTACACATGGATGTTCATAGCCTGAATATATCATACACACCCCATACACCCTGAAATCTAGTTCCCTGAATACTAAACACAGGGGAACATCAGTTTTACCTAGAAGGAGACATGCAGATATACCATGGCATTATGATGCCTACACATGACTGTCACTTAGACACATACTAATCTGTGAGCATATCACACTTGTGAACACTCAGATTTATACAGGGAAAGGTGATGACCTTGAATGTACCTCAGTCTGCAAGCCGACCCCGATAGACACTCTGATGTTCCACACCCTGGTGAAATGGCAAGAGGTGGCAAGTGCCTTTAATCCCAGCATGCAGGAGGCAGTAACAGGCAGATCTTTGAATCTGATGCCAACCTTGTTTACAAAGTGAGTTCCAGGCTAGCCAGGGGCTACACAGGGAGACACTGTTTCAAAAAAACAGAGAGGGGACCAGAACAACGGTATTGTGGTTACCAAATAAAAGCCCAGTTTTCCTCTCTTCCCTCCTGAATGCTAAGTTCCTCACTAGGAGATGGAGTCTGTGAACAACTTACAATTTATCTCATATTAGAGCTTCCCTTCCCCAGTCTGCCAAAGGAGAATTTATTTCTTATTTATTTATTTATTTATTTATTCCTAAATCCTAATGGGTTGGAGCGACATTACCCCCAGATCTCACACTCGCAGCCAGAGAAGCTAGGTATTGGCCATTGTTCTAGGATATCCGTTATAATGATGGGAGTTGATTCAAATAGCCAATAATCTCAATAAAGCCCAATGATTTTACAGTGTGTAGATTAGTAAAGTGGCCACAGGGACAGATAGAGGCTGGGGCACAGCCTGACTGACGGTCTATGGAGGTCTTATAAGAGCAACCTTCCTTCATAGACAGACTTCAACTAGTGCAACCAGATAGGTTGCTTAATCTGTGAGACAGGATTTGGGTAGTGTCCAGAGTTCCTGACGTGCCTCAGTTTACCGGATCGTCAACAAAGCGACTCCTGCCCTAGGCACGCGAGGCAGCCTCTTGGTCCTGAAGACAAGTACCACCAAGGCTACCAATCTCACAATCTCAGCCTCAAGGATCAGGCAGGCCCCACTGGCCCCTTCCCCGCAGCGGCTGCCTCGTGAATACCGCGAGAGTTCGCCCCCTTCCTCCACCCCCCCCC